GCCCTTGCCGTGAGAATTGACGGCGCCCTAAACCTCCCTTTACCGACCTGCTTCTGTGTGCTTCTTGGTCAACTTCCTTCTCCCTTCCCACCCACACCCTTCCCAACCCCACCCAACTCACCCCTTGCTGAAGCTTATCCTCCACAGCAGTGGCCCCCAGGAGCGTCAGCCCCTGTTCAATCTCCTCCGCAGCAGCATCCACCAGCGCCTCCCTCTCCGCACTCAGACTCCTCCGCGCCCCTTCAAACCGCTCCAGCCACTCCCCGCACTCCTCCTCACTCAACTCCCTGTACGCCAGCGCCAGCGTCCGCAGCCCTGCCTCGCCGTACCGGTGCAGCGTGGCCCGGGTAGCTTCCAAATGCTGCCGCCCGGTGGGCGCTAGGCGCTCGTATATGACGGAGTCGGCGCCCTTGGTCATGAGGAGGATGCGGTTGGAGGGGTCTCGGACCACCACTGACATGCGCTTACGCGTGGAGTTGAACTCTATCAGTGCCAGGATCGTGTACTCCCTGTTAGATGTGAATGGGTACAACAATCCGCAATGAGCGGTCACTGCCAGGATCACATATTCTCTCCCAGTCGCATGAGGGGGAAGGATGATGAGGAGAGGGATGATGAGGAGAGGGATGATGAGGAGAGGGATGATGAGGAGAGGGATGATGAGGAGAGGGATGATGAGGAGAGGGATGATGAGGAGAGGGATGATGAGGAGAGGGATGATGAGGGGAGGATGATGAGGGGAAGGATGATGAGGAGAGGGATGATGAGGGGAAGGATGATGAGGAGAGGGATGATGAGGGGAAGGATGATGAGGAGAGGGATGATGAGGGGAAGGATGATGAGGAGAGGGATGATGAGAGGAGGGATGATGAGGGGAGAGATGATGAGGGGAGGGATGACTCCCCTCCTCACCCGTCCACGTTGCTTTTTCCCTTCTCACCCCTGCACGCTGCTCCACCCCCCCTCACCTGTCAACAGTGTTCTGCCCTGTCTCGTCCGGCTCGCGCACCCAAACGGTCGTCTGCGTGCGCTTGAAGAACGCCACGCCCATCTGCCGCGCCGCCTCCACGAACGCCGCCTCGTCCGGCGACTCCGCCTCGTACTCCACCTGCCCGGAAGCTTCGTCCACCTCGGGAATGACGGTGTGGCACACGGCCAGCACGCGCAGGAACGCGCGGATCTCCTCGCGGTGCGGCTCGCGCAGCCACGCGCCGTCCAGGAGCCTATTATCCCGCAGCGCGAACCCCTTAACCCCCGGCTTCGCCGTCCCGTTCGCCGCCGCCTCCGCCGCGACGCGCTCCTCCTCCTCGTCGTAATCCTCCAGCTCGCTCAGATCGCGCCCGAGCCGCCGCGCCGTGGCGCGCTCGACCTCGGTAATCCCGCGGCCGTACGCGACGCCGGCAATGGAGCACTTGAGGAAATCCATCTGGTTACACGTCAGCGTGCCCGTTTTGTCGCTTAGCACCGTATCCACTTGCCCTAGCTCCTCGTTCAAATTACTCGTGCGCGCGCGCGCCGGCATGTCCGTTTCCGCGAAGTACATCCCGCGATCAGCGCTAATGAACCACGCCTGGAAGATCTTAACGATCTCGATCGACACGTATAGCGAAATAGGGATGAGGTAACCGTACAGGATGATCGCCGTCAGGCACTGCAGCACGGACGACGTGGCGGGTTTCGCGGGGTCGTAGTACGCGTCAGTATCGGTCGGCGCGAGGTACCACCAGGACGGCATCTGATTCTTGGTGCGTATGCCGAAAATGATACTCCCCACGATCGCCATCAGCAGCAGGCAGGCGAAGAGGAAGTAGATGATCTTATCCATGCGCCGTTCGATCGAGCTGCGCTTCGACGGCGCCGTGGTCGAGTTCATCATGACTTTGCTGTCGTGGCCGGTAAAAATAACCACCCCCACCACCCACGCCGTGTTGCGCAGCTTCGAGTCGCGCAGCAGCACCTGCGCCGCGGTCAGCGACGTCGCCTCGCCGTCCCACTCTAGATTCCCTACAAACGTGTACAAACTCGGGTTCGGGTCCTCGCACTTAATCTCCGCCGTGAATTTCGCCAGCACCTCGGGGTCCTCGAGCGGCAGCGTGCGCTCGAGCGCCTTACGCAGTTTAAGATTCGTCTCGCCGTCCAGATTCATTGTTTCGACGTAGCACACGCCGTCCGGGTAGCTGGAGGCGAGCATTAGGAGGTCGGCGGGGAAGAACTCGTCCTTGAGCACTTTAACTACGTCGCCCACGCGCACCGCCTTCCACTCGCACGGCTCGAACCGCCCCTCGCCCACATGGCGCAGAACCTTGCGCTTGTTCACCTCGTCGTCCTGGCGGACGGGGAAGGGGAAGGGGAAGGGGAAGGGGAAGGGGGAAGGGGAAGGGGAAGGGGGAAGGGGAAGGGGGAAGGGGAATGGGTAAAGAGGCGTGTGAGGGGCCTCAAAAGTCGCCCCTCCACGTGGCGCAGCACCTTGCGCTTGTTCACCTCGTCGACCTGGCGGACGTGGAGGGGGAAGGGGGAGGGGGAAAAAGAGAGGGGTGAGTGAGGGGTGAAGGGGGAGGGGGAGAGAAGGGGGAATTGAGGGATGGGTGGGGTAAAGTACTAGGGGGAAGTGGGAAGAAAAGGGTTACGGGGGAGGGGTGGGGTGGCTGGAGGACGAGGGTTGGGAGGAGGAACGGCGTGGGAGCTTGTGGAAAGACGGGAGAAGAGGGGAAGGGGGAGGGGCGAGGGGGGGGAAGGTGAGGTTACAAGAGGGGAAAGAGGGAGCTTGATTGCGTTGCGTCGGAAAGACCGTTAGCCCAACAACCATTTCACCCTCCATTCTGGTTCCAACCGCTCCTCGAACCCCCTAGCTCATTGCGATGTTCCTGAAAGACATCCGTTACAATCACATCCGTGACTGTGACCAGAACTCACGGCAAGATATCGGCGCCAGTCTTCGATGGCCTCTTTGATCATGCTCACGCCCACCACCAGCACGAGCGGCGCGATCAGACTGTACGGCGCGTACGGCGTTAACGGCGTGAGCGCGAGGATGGCGCAGAGCAGGAAGTAGAGATTGGCGACGCGGCGGAACTGCTCAAATAGCGCCTTGGGGAGGAAGGACAGTATCGAGTATTTAGTGGTGGAAATTGAGTTGTTACAATAACGAAGCGGACTGCCTTTCTCCACGTGGTGATGCGGCTCGTTGCAGTACACGTGGCGCTGAAAGCCCTTCTCTCCGACCAGCTCGCTCTCGTCTGCGCGGGGCCGGATGCACCCCGCGTATGAGAGGAGCCGCGAGAGGCGCACGCGCGACTTGGATTTAGACGTCGACGACATGATGACTAATAGTTACTGTTGTTTAAGAATATTCAAGCAGAATAATGAACAATGAAGGTATTCTTGCTAGCAACGGACGCCGTGCGACCTAATTCCTATGCGGGCTAGTCCGTTCGCCTCTGACCTAACCCAAGCAGCCGCTGTTGGCTAATTAAGTTAACCACTCTAAATGCATTTCCTTGCGCTCATTGCACTGCAGGCTGCGTGACGATCAGCAGTAAGTGACCGGAGCCTCACACGGACTCGCGAGACAGCCACATCCATTGACTCTTATTCCAACTATTCCAAATATTCCAGCAATATTGCGGCTGCATCGAGGCTCTCGTCTCGACTCGAATGGTTTGACGGCAGCACAGCGTGTGACTCATCTATGCGTGCTCTACCCGACACGTTGTCTGACGCACTTCCATGGCGCTCTGGTTGCACTGAAACGTGGGGAAGGGGGGAGGGGTGGGTAACATTACAGGGAGTGCTGCGCAAGGAGATGGCGCAGCGCAGTGAGGGGACCAACTTGCGCTCGAGGGCGGAGAAAATGCTCACCGAGGGGAGGGGAGGGGAGGGGAGGGGAGGGGAGGGGAGGGGAGGGGAGGGGAGGGGAGGGGAGGGGAGGGGAGGGGAGGGGAGGGGAGGGGAGGGGAGGGGAGGGGAGGGGAGGGGAGGGGAGGGGAGGGGAGGGGAGGGGAGGGGAGGGGAGGGGAGGGGAGGGGAGGGGAGGGGAGGGGAGGGGGAGGGGAGGGGAGGGGAGGGGAGGGGAGGGGAGGGGAGAAGGGGGAGGAGGGGAGGGGAAAGGAGTGGGAGGAGATGGGGGAGGGGGATGCGGCTATTTCTCAATCGGGCATTCTATGGCGAGGCGACGATCATAATGAATTGTTGCACTACCCGTACCAAGGTTGCATCCAGTGGTTCAGTTCAGGTCGCCCTTTCACAGCAGCTATGCTGCGAGGAGGCGACAAGATGATGTCACCACTCTGTAACGTTTTGAACCATATTTCAGGTAAACAGAACCACGTCTGTAGCGTGGACTTTGGCGGATGGCGGACACATGAGCGGAACGATTTGACTGAAAGCGGAGCGCCCTAGAAAATGCATGGTGTCTTGGTGTAGTAGTGTCCTCGGGCGCAGATTCTTCCCGCCGAAAAACAGTGCCCCGCACACGTCGCCCTCACTCTGGTGATGCGCTGCCGCAGGACTGAACAGCACCGTTCTGTGGTGTTGCCAAGCCGGCTTGCAGCGAGGATGTGCTCGAGGAGGGTGTGGCGGGGACGACCAGCTTACCTTCCCCCCAATCCCAAGGAGGCATCCCTCCACTGGAAAATGGCGTCGTGCAGAGCACGTGGGGGTCACTGAGTGGCTGCAAAGTCTGCACCGCACGGATTGTGTGGCCTTTCAAGGCCGCGAGACCCTTCACGAAGCGAAACATGTAACAAGTGCAAATCAAATTGTGTAGCAACCTCATAAAGTTGGTTTCACATTTCATAACAGTGCTTTGAAGCCACTGCTGATTTTAAAGCCTGAAGTCAGCACTGGTTCATCGCGCAACACTTTTACATTAAAGTCTGTGTCTTATCACCTGCGTGGAGCATTAAGCCTGAATAGAAGAGGTTAGCCTGATAACAGGCCGTAGGAACACGCCATGAATGGATTCTCAAAGTTATCATAGCAGGCTGTGCTGCGGCTTCCCCTCATGTCTCTACGAGGGGCACACCTGCAGCAACAGCGTTGCCTTGCTCGCTCTGTGAGCCCTGTTGGTGCGGCGTGACGTTGGCTCGAATCCACGCCAGCGTGGCATCGATGGCATTCTGGTCACAGTAAATCCTGTGAAACACACATCGGGCGGGTGAGGGGGGGGGGGGGGGCAGGACAGCACGGTAAGCTGTATGGACGGCTGGTCTGACACTGCCTGCTCGGCATGATGCACACCACCCATGCACTGGTGGACAAATGAGAGCAAGCAAGCGAGGAAAGAGGAGAGCAGGCGAAAACTGAAGAGAGCAGGTGAGGACAGTGCAGTGCAGGCACGAGCGCAAGAGAGGGTGGAAGATGCAGAGAGCATGCGAGGGGGGGGTGAGAGAGAGTCGTGAGTCGTACTCCAGCTGTGCCCGATACCCCTTCAGCACCCGCTCCTCCTCCTTGCTCTCCCTGCGATGCTCTCGCCTCACCGCCTTTTCCCACGCCCCCCCACTGCCCCCTCCTCCAACACGACCCTGCCCCCCTTCCCTCTCTGCCCCAAATCTTCCTTCCCCACCCCCCTGCTCCTCTCCATCGCCCTGCCCTTCCCCACCCGCCTGCACCTCCCCACCCGCCTGCACCTCCCCACCCGCCTGCACCTCCCCACCCGTCGACCCATCAAAGTCGCGCAGCACCATTCCCACCAGCTCGTCCTGGGGCGGGCAGAGGGGAGGGGGAACATGGAGGGCAGAGGGGAGGGGGAACATGAAGGGCAGAGGGGAGGGGGAACATGGAGGGCAGGGGGGAGGGGGAACATGGAGGGCAGGGGGGAGGGGGAGGGGGAACATGGAGGGCAGGGGGGAGGGGGAGGGGGAACATGGAGCCGTGGAATCGAGTGAGCAACTGCACACGAGTACAGCAGCTCACATGGGCCAGGTGAGAAGCAGGCAGCAGTAATCACCAAGCGCTTTGACACACATCAACACACGGCTGCTTCACGCACCTCTGCGACTTCACGCACTTTTATTGTTTGACACTGCCTCACCAGGGGGGCGATCCTCTCACCAGGGGGGCGATCCTCTCACCAGGGGGGCGATCCTCTCACCAGGGGGGCGATCCTCTCACCAGGGGGGCGATCCTCTCACCAGGGGGGCGATCCTCTCACCAGGGGGGCGATCCTCTCACCAGGGGGGCGATCCTCTCACCAGGGGGGCGATCCTCTCAACAGGGGGGGCATTCCTCTCACCAGGGGGGCCATTCCTCTCACCAGGGGGGCCATTCCTCTCACCAGGGGGGCCATTCCTCTCACCAGGGGCGTGTGAGCGGGCAGCCATCGGAAGAGTGGTTGGGAGCGGAACCACGTGATCTGGCGCTTGGCGTAGCGCCGCGACGCCTGCTGAAACTCCAAGATGAACGCCACCAGCGCTGCCTGCAGCGCCTCCTGCAACGCCACTTCCACCCGTTGCTCTTCCACCCGTTGCTCTTCCACCCGCTGCTCTTCAACCTGCTGCTCTTGCTGCCCTGGCTCCTCACTGGTCCTCGCTTGCCCCATGAGGCGCTGGCAGTGCAGCAGGAAGGCCATGGCCTGGCGGTAGCCGATGGCGCGTGTGGGCGAGGAGGTGTCGGGGTGCAGCCCCGCTCGCAGCAGCGCCAGACTCTCCTCCAGCAGCCCGCCTGCCGACCACATGGGAGGAGAGGGCACGGGAGAGGGCACGGGAGGATGTGGCATGTGTGTGGGCGAGGAGGAGTCGGGGGTCAGCCCTGCCCGCAGCAGCGCCAGACTCTCCTCCAGCAGCCCGCCTGCCAACCGGCCACACGGAGAGAGCGCACGGGGCGACGAGGCATGCAGAGGAAGACAAGAGATGGATGCATGAGGATTCGGGGTGCAGGCCCGCCCGCAGCAGCGCCACACTCTCCTCCAGCAGCCCGCCTGCCCGCTGCACGGGCGGAGAGAGCGCGAGAGAGGGCATGGGACGATGGGGCATGAAGAGGAAGGCAAGAGATGGATGCATGAGGGCGAGGGGGCCGGAGCCGTGGGTTGGTGGAAGGAGTGTGGACTCAAGTGGTGCAGGTGAGGGCAATGGTGAAAGGAGGGTGCAGCGGACTGGAGTCGCCACGTACGAGCATTTGCTCGGTAGAATCTCAAAGGCCATAAGTCCTTCCACCTAGCAAGCAAGCAGCAAGGCTCGCCTCACCTGAAAGCAGCAAGGCTCGCCTCACCTGAAAGCAGCAAGGCTCGCCTCACCTGAAAGCAGCAAGGCTCGCCTCACCTTGCACCATCTCTTCGCAGCGTCGATCTATTCGGCGGTACAGTGGCAGGCGAGGGGCGTCCAGGAAGAAACAATGGAAGGCGAAAGGTGGAGGTGACGAGGCTGCAGCAGCAGCAGCAGCAGCAGCAGCAGGCGGGGAGGTGTGTTTGGCCTGGTGGGAAGGCACAGTGATCTCTGATCGGGGCCGCCCCGTGGCCTGAGGGAGGGGAAACAGGCACACGCTTAGACAGGCTTGGAAAACAAAGCCGTGACGTGGAAAGGAGGGAACATGGTGTTGAAGGTGAAGAGGGGGGAAGGAGAGGACGGTGGCGTGGGGGATTTAGAGTCCCTCACTGTCCCTGGCCTGCTGGATGCCGGACACTCTCCACGACTACGCTTTGAGCACTCCTGCCTCTTCACCACTCTTGCCCCCTCCACACGCACACAGTGCCCCTCACACGCACACACTGCCTCCCACACGCACACATACCCTGAGAATCTCAAACGCCCTGGTCAGCCGGTACCAGTCATTCCGTGCCAGCTGGCCTGCTGTGATTGGGTCGCCCGCAGCAGCAAGGGCAGCCAGAGCGGCCTCCCAGTCGCCCTCCTCCGAATACCTCACACGCGGCTGCCTGCTCGCCCACCCCCGCTCCCTCGCCTCTCTCTCTCTCCCTGCTTCGCCCTGGCCCCCCATCGCCTGGCCCCCCATCGCCTGGCCCCCCATCGCCTGGCCCCCCATCGCCTCCTCCATTCCCCCCACACCCACACCATCGTTGCCCTCCTCGCTCCTCCCGTCAGCACTCAACTCTTTCTCCAAGCCGCCCCTCACTGCGTCGGCTGCTGACGCCCTTCCCGCTGCTGCATCCCCCTCACCCCCACCTACTGCCTCTTCTGCCCCACCAACCGCCGCTACGCTCCTCTCATCCCCCCTCTCATCCCCCCTCGCATCTCCCCTCGCCCCCTCCCCCCTGCTGGCCTGCCTGGCGCGCATCACAGCGGCCTCGATCTCGCGGGCAACGGCGCGTTCCAGCGCGGGGCAGGAGGGGGGCGTGGCGGGGCGGCCGTGCAGCAGCCATGCGAGGTACAGCCCCGTGCCGCCCACCACCACCGCCACGCCCCCCCGCTGCACCACACCCTCCACGGCCGTGCGCGCCGCCTCGTAGAAGTCGCCTGCAGTGAACTCTGCGGGGTGCAAAGGCGGGATGACAGGGGAGGGGAGAGGGGGGGGAAGCCTCCTTCTGAGGCGGGATGCTCCTGCGCACATGCTCCTGCGCACATGCTCCTGCGCACATGCTCCTGCGCACATGCTCCTGCGCACATGCTCCTGCGCACATGCTCCTGCGCACATGCTCCTGCGCACATGCTCCTGCGCACATGCTCCTGCGCACATGCTCCTGCGCACATGCTCCTGCTCACATGCTCCTGCGCACATGCTCCTGCGCACATGCTCCTGCGCACATGCTCCTGCGCACATGCTCCTGCGCACATGCTCCTGCGCACATGCTCCTGCGCACATGCTCCTGCGCACATGCTCCTGCGCACATGCTCCTGCGCACATGCTCCTGCGCACATGCTCCTGCTCACATGCTCCTGCTCACATGCGCCACCTCGCCACCTCACCACCTCGCCACCTCACCACCTCACCACCTCGCCACCTCACCACCTCGCCACCACGCCCCACCCACCTTGCCACGGCTCGCGGATATCCAGCAGGTGGTGCGGCACGCGGCGCTGCTCGTCAGGGGAGGCCTTGGCGGACCCCACGTCCAGCCCGCGGTACACCTGCACCGAGTCCGCGCTCACCACCTCGCCGCCCCGCACCGCCTCCGCCACCGCCAGCGCCAGCCGCGACTTGCCCACTGCTGTGGGGCCCGATATCACAATCACCCGCCGCCCCTGCCCCTGCCCCTGCCCCTGCCCCTGCCCCTGCCCCTGCCCCTGCCCCTGCCCCTGCCCCTGCCCCTCCCCCTGCCCGTGGCCGTCGCCTCTCGCCTCCTCCCGTGGCCGCCCCGCTGCTGCCCCCTGATCTAGCTGCCCGCGGCCTCTGCGCGCGCTCGTCTCATCTTCGCATGCACCGGCTGCCAGGCCTTGCGCCAACATCCCCTCGCCCGTGCCCCCTTCGCTCCTCTCGCCCGCTTCGCTCCTCTCCCTCCCCTCCGTGCACCCTTGCTGCGCGTCCCCTCTCGTTCGTCCCTCCGCCTTCCCCCCGCCCTGCTCGCGCAGCCCGTCAAGCCCCTCTAACCCTGTACCCGCGCTCCTCGCCATGCGCTCACCGCCCGCGCGGCTGGCAGTGGCAGTGGCAGTGGCAGTGGCAGTGGCAGTGGCAGTGGCTGCTGCAGGTGCAGGTGCAGGTGCTGGCCCGGCCCTCTCTCGAGCCCCAGTCACTCGCGCGCCTTCACCTTCTCTTCTCCACGCGACTGCCGCCGTCCCTCCTCGCTCGCACTCGTGCCCAACGCAGCGGCGCACGGAGTAACGACCGAGCCTGTTTGCAAGTGTACCGTTGAGCCAACTGTCAAGTCTATGCACGGAGTAACTGCCGAACCTGATACCGAGCAGCATCCCCGTATTGACGAGGCGCGACGGGAGGAGCGCGACGGAAAGGGCCCGCGGTGGTGGGGGGGGCAACCTAAGCGCGACGAGAGGGAGGGCCCGCGGGGACCTTTCTACGCGCGACGAGAGGGGCCCGCGAGAGGGCTTCCTAAGCGCGACGGGATGCGCGAGGCGACGGGCGGCCTTAGGGGCGACGGGCGGCCTAGGCGCTACGGGCTGCACGGGGCTACGGGCGGCCTAGGCGCTACGGGCTGCACGGGGCTACGGGCGGCCTAGGCGTGACTGGCAGCGGGGGCGACGGGCTAACGGGGCCGCGAGGCGCCGAGGCTAGCGGGATCGACGGGCTAACTGGGCAGCGGGGCTAACTCTTGAAATTCGATCAAGGGAAACGTTGAATGCAAAGTACGGTACATCAACAGGCGTCTAACGATGCAAACCAATTTATTATGAATAAATTCTGCCAGCTGTAGCTGTAGCGAGAACGTTCCACACAAACCATTTGGTTGTGGGGAATTCGCAATCCGGTCAATACGAGGTAGCGGCGGCTAGACGTCGCGGCTCGCAACGCAACCCTGCCAGCAGACTGCACGCGACGCGTCATCTTCAGCGTCGCCACGAGCGCCATGCCAAACCGTACCAGCGCGCCGTCTCGTCCCGCCCCGCCGCCGGCAATGAGGGCGGGCGACCGCGTGAGCATCGTGGCGCCCGCCGGGGCCGTGGACGCGCGACTGCTGCGACAAGGCTGCGACGTGCTGGCGTCGTGGTGAGGCACGCACCCTCCCTTCCGTGCGTCGTGGTGAGGCACGCACCCTCCCTTCCGTGCGTAGTAATGACGTACACACGCGCTCGCTCGTGCGTTGTGACGTACACACGCGCTCGCTCGTGCGTTGTGACGTACACACGCGCTCGCTCGTGCGTTGTGACGTACTCACGCGCGAGAGTGGTGACGAGACGCGCACGGTTCATGTGTGCTGAGGCACACGCACGCACACACCTGCTGTCACTGCCGCCGCACTGCCGCTCGCACGTGCCGTGAGCTGGGCGATCATATGAATGAGTGAGTGAGGGAGTAGCTGGGAATGCAAACCCGAGCTCATACACATGCTTTTGACTCGACTCAAAAACCGAGCTCATACACATCGTGACTGCCGCTGCTCACTTGCGAGGTGTCCCCACGCGCTGTCACGCCATTGGGCCTCCCTCCCCCTTTTGAGAATTCTCACAAGTAATTTCAGCACAGGGCCTCCCCTTTCCATCGTTCTGCCCTCCCCTCCCCCTCGTTCTGCCCTCCCCTCCCCCTCGTTCTGCCCTCCCCTCCCCCTCGTTCTGCCCTCCCCTCCCCCTCGTTCTGCCCTCCCCGCTCTTCTTGAGCTCGGCAGGGGGCTCGTGCCGGTCGTGCATCCGCAAGTCGCACTGCGCCAAGCCTACCTCGCAGGCTCGGACCAAGCCAGAGCCGCAGGTCTGGTGGAGGCGTTTCTGGACCCCTCCACGCGCGCAGTGGTGTGCGCCCGGGGCGGGTATGGCTGTGCGCGCCTGCTGCCCCTGCTGGAGCGCGCGCTTAGGGGGGAGGGGCAGGGGGAGGGGGGAGGGGAGGCGGAGGGGAAGGGGGAACGAGAATGGGAGTGCGGAGGCTGGGAGTGCGGGGAGAGGGAGGCGGAATTGGAGAGAGGCGCGGAGGCAGTGTTGGGGGAAGGAGGAGCAGCGATTGAGGGCAGGACGGATGAGGACAGGGGGCATCACGCCAAGGGAAATGAGCGGGTGGAGTGTGGGGGCACTGGGGGTGAGGGCAAGGGGGATCAAGGAAAGGCGAATGAGGGCGAGGGTGAGGCAGGCGGATGGGCGCAGAGGGTTGATGGGTGGGCGGAGTGTGTGGCGGAGGAGGGGGGTAGTAGGGGGACGGTGATGGGGGGAGGAGAGGATGGAGGGGAGGGGCGTGCAGAGGTACGGGAGGGCGTGGGGACAGCGAGTGAAAGGGCAGCAGGAGGCGATGGTGGGTGCAGAGGTGCAGATAGATCAACTGGTTGCAGTGCTGATGTGGCACGATGCTCTACTGCTGACGTGGCGCAAGGCAGCAGCAGGCGCTCGTGTCTTGCTACACAGATCCGCCGCAAGCGATTCTTCGGCTTCAGTGATGTCACGGCGCTGCACAGGTGGGCGCAATGGTGCAAGTGTGTGGTTCCTGCCCTGTTCAACCAGCACGTGCGTGCACAAGCCATGCTCGTGTCTTTCAACCTGCCTGCCGATTCAGCCATGCTTTTGCTTTTGCTTTTGCACAAGGCCCGAGGCACCGAACCAATGCCCCCTCGAGACTTTCAGCTGTGAACCCACATGTCTGCATGTGCAAACTACCATCACGCATACCATCTCTGCTCAATCCCTCCTCCCCACCCCTCCTCTTATTGGTATCTCCTTTACTCTTCTCTCCACTTGTTCGCTTGGTCTCTTTCCCCTTTTTCCCCCCATGTTAGTTTCTTCCAGGCGGAGCTAGCAGAGCCAATCATCTCCTTCCACGCGCCCATGCCAGCCACATCATTCTTCACCGACCAATCAGCAACCGCCAGCAGAGCAGCCCTCCGTGCCGCCCTCTTCGAACCCTCGCTCACTCTCGCCTGCCCCCCGCTTCAGGTGATGGTCAGGTGCCCTCTAGGTAAATGTCCGGTGCTTTTCGGGTTATCGTCACTTCATTGCCCTCCCTGCCACCTCTCTCCCCCTTCCCTCGCGCCTTGCTCCCTGCTGTAATTCCTGTCAGCTTTTGGGCTCTTGACGCATCCCCTTGCATACCCTTCAATTCTCCGCTCTCCTTCTGTTTCACCCCGCCTTTCCCCCTATATTTCCTCCGCCAACCCCCTTCATCCACCACCGGCCCGCTGCCTCCGGAGGGGCTGCTACTGAGGCGCCTAATGGAGCAATGTTCCCCTCCCCTTTGCTCCCCTTCGCCCCTCAATATCCTCCGTCCCCACCCCGCCTCTCTTCCCCACGCCTTCCCCCCTCCGCCTTCCCCTCCCCGCCTTCCCCTCTCCGCCTTTCCCCCTCCGCCTTCCCCTCTCCGCCTTCCCTTCTCCGCCTTTCCCTCTCCGCCTTCCCCTCTCCACCTTTCCCCCTCCGCCTTCCCCTCTCCGTCTTCCCCTCTCCGCCTTTCCCCCTCCGCCTTCCCCTCTCCGCCTCCCCTCTCCGCCTTTCCCCCTCCGCCTTCCCCTCTCCACCTTCCCCTCTCCGCCTTCCCCCTCCTCCTTCCCCCTCTCCGCCTTTCCCCTCCACCTTCCCCCTCCGCCTTCCCCTCTCCGCCTCCCCCCTCCGCCTTCCCCTTCCGCCTTTCCCCCTCCGCCTTCCCCTCTCCACCTTCCCCTCTCCGCCTTCCCCCTCCACCTTTCCCCCTCCGCCTTCCCCTCTCCGCCTTCCCCCTCCGCCTTCCCCCTCCGCCTTTCGCCCTCCGCCTTCCCCTCTCCACCTTCCCCCTCCGCCTTCCCCCTCCGCCTTTCCCCCTCCGCCTTCCCCTCTCTGCCTTCCCCTCTCCACCTTCCCCCTCCGCCTTCCCCTCTCCGCCTTCCCCCTCCGCCTTCCCCCCTCCACCTTCCCCCTCCGCCTTCCCCTCTCCGCCTCCCCCCTCCGCCTTCCCCTTCCGCCTTTCCCCCTCCGCCTTCCCCTCTCCACCTTCCCCTCTCCGCCTTCCCCCTCCACCTTTCCCCCTCCGCCTTCCCCTCTCCGCCTTCCCCCTCCGCCTTCCCCTCTCCGCCTTCCCCTCTCCGCCTTCCCCCTCCGCCTTCCCCCTCCGCCTTTCCCCCTCCGCCTTCCCCTCTCCGCCTTCCCCCTCCGCCTTCCCCTCTCCACCTTCCCCCTCCGCCTTCCCCTCTCCACCTTCCCCCTCCACCTTCCCCTCTCCACCTTCCCCCTCCGCCTTCCCCTCTCCGCCTTCCCCTCTCCGCCTTCCCCCTCCGCCTTCCCCCTCCGCCTTTCCCCCTCCGCCTTCCCCTCTCCGCCTTCCCCCTCCGCCTTCCCCTCTCCACCTTCCCCCTCCGCCTTCCCCTCTCCACCTTCCCCCTCCACCTTCCCCTCTCCACCTTCCCCCCATCCATCGCAGGGCCGCTGCCTCCAGAGGGGCTGGCTGGCCAATCCCTCCTCTTGCTGCCGCCCAAACCGAGTGCAAGGGCGGCTGCTGGGCGGCAATCTGTCTGTTCTGGCGTCGCTGGTGGGGTCCAAATGGGTAGCGGGGCGGCGAGACACGTGCCGTTGCTGCTGCAGCAGCGGTGGTGGGGGTGCGGAGGACAGTGATGGCGCGGGGGGCAGTGATGGTTTGATTCTGATGCTGGAAGATGGTGAGAGTCGAGGCGTGTGTGGTGAGAGTCGAGGCGTGTGTGGTGAGAGTCGAGGCGTGTGTGGTGAGAGTCGAGGCGTGTGTGGTGAGAGTCGAGGCGTGTGTGGTGAGAGTCGAGGCGTGTGTGGTGAGAGTCGAGGCGTGTGTGGTGAGAGTCGAGGCGTGTGTGGTGAGAGTCGAGGCGTGTGTGGTGAGAGTCGAGGCGTGTGTGGTGAGAGTCGAGGCGTGTGTGGTGAGAGTCGAGGCGTGTGTGGTGAGAGTCGAGGCGTGTGTGGTGAGAGTCGAGGCGTGTGTGGTGAGAGTCGAGGCGTGTGTGGTGAGAGTCGAGGCGTGTGTGGTGAGAGTCGAGGCGTGTGTGGTGAGAGTCGAGGCGTGTGTGGTGAGAGTCGAGGCGTGTGTGGTGAGAGTCGAGGCGTGTGTGGTGAGAGTCGAGGCGTGTGTGGTGAGAGTCGAGGCGTGTGTGGTGAGAGTCGAGGCGTGTGTGGTGAGAGTCGAGGCGTGTGTGGTGTGATACTATGCGACCTGATGCAAGCGAGGCAGGCATGCATGCGGTGGGATGGGATGGAGTGGGATGGGATGGGGTGACATGTTCATGATCCGCTAGGAATGGTGCGACTTCTGACCTCGCTTGGCTCGTCCTATGCAATGCCTTCTTGCCGGATTCAATCGAACGTTATGCTCTTCCTGCCATGTAACCTTGCACCACGCCCCCTTTTGCTGCATCTGTAGCCTAGCCACTGCCATGCCTCCGTAGTCCCAGTCACATTCCTCAAATCTTCCCATCCCGCCTCCTCATTCTCCCTGCTGCCCGTGCTGCCTGTGCCATGTGGCAGTGGGGGAGGAGGAGTACCGGGGGGATCGCATGCTGCACCAGACCAGCTGCTGTGCAACCTTGAACCACCCTCCCCGCTCATCAAGCGCCTTTCTCGTCTCTTCCCATCTCCGTGTCTCTGTGCTGCCCATGCCATGTGGCAGTGGGGGAGGAAGAGTACCGGGTGGATCGCATGCTGCACCAGCTGCTGCCCTCTCTGCTGCCCTCGCTGCTCCCCCCCGCCCCTCCTCCCTGCCATGCTAGGGGATGCGCCCACTCACATGCTGCTGCCGCCCATTCTGCTGCCGCCCATTCTGCTGCCGCTGATGCTGCTGCCCATACTGCCACCCATGCGCCATGGAAGGACCTGGGCTCCTACCATCATGCCCATGCGCCATGGAAGGACCTGGGCTCCTACCATCATGCCCATGCGCCATGGAAGGACCTGGGCTCCTACCATCATGCCCATGCGTGTTGCCCCGGCAGGGGGCACGGCACACAGGGCCATGTGACGGCCCTGTCAGGGCTGGTTCTGGGAACCTTCTCCAATTTCCAGGGCATGAGTGACGAGGCACGAGGTATGCACGGGGTGTATCGGGTGCACGGGGTGTATCGGGTGCATGGGATGCTTTTGAGTCCAAGGCATGGGCCGCTGTGGCAGCTGCTCTTGACGCGCCCCACAGTACTGCCTGCACCCTTCCCTCTGCACCACTGCCCTGCTTGGACAGTCATTCATTCCAAATGTTCCTTCTGTCATCCACAGCCGTTCATCTTACCTCTCACTCCCCATTCCATCCACCGCACACAGAGAGTGTTCGACCAATCGTGGAGGAGCAGTACGGAGGCGACTGGGACAAGTGGTTCTGGCTGGGACAGGTGTCGCTCCCTCATTGGCTGCCGGTGCTGGCGGGGCTTCCCATTGGCCACACGAGTGACAACAGAGTGGCTCCTATTGGTGCTCTCGTGGAGCTTGATGTTGAAACCGCAACGCTCACTGCACTGTGATATTATATTCGATTTGATACGATTCAAGACAACAGAGTGGCTGCCATTGGTGCTCTCGTGGAGCTGGACGTTGAAACCGCAACGCTCACTGCGCTGTAGCTTCCAGCCAACGCATGCAGTGAATGCGCTGGTTCTCAGAGCATGTAGCCTGTAGTGTAACCACAGCATATATATATATATATATATATATATATATATCAACATCACTTATTCTGAAAGTTAAGTTGCTAACTAGCCCTAGCACCTCAACTCCAGCTGAAGTATTTTGTTACGAGATATTGCTGCTGATAATAACGAGTACCGCTCCAGAGAGGATTTCCTTTGCCGGCGCTGCCGTCAATCTGCTCCTGTCGCAATTCCTCGCCTCGCTCGCTCCTCTCACTGGGTCACGTCAATAACAGCTCCACCGCACTACACCACCTTCACCGCCCTCCCCCGACCCCCCGCCACTGCCCCCCCGCGCACCACCCCATCACTGCGCCCGCCACTTCTGCGCCTGCCTCTTCTTCGCGACCGTTCTCGCCTCTCCCGCCCCGCGCTTCACCCAATTACCGCGCCCTCCAGTCCTGATTGTGCGCTAATTCGCGCGGCGTTCTCTCCCCCCTGCGCTGCGCGGTTCCCGCCGCCACCTCGCCGCCGCCGGCTTCCGCCGACTTCCGCCGGCTGAGAGGCGCAAGAACTAGTAACCGCCTGCCAACAGTCGCGGGGAAACCGCCGCCAGCGCCGCGGCGCAATGACGGGGGGCTTCGCGCCGATGGAGATCGACGGGGAGAGCTCGCGCGCGGCGCCCGCGGGGAAGCGCGAGGTGTGGGCGTGGTACGGGTACGACGCGGCGGTGGCGGGATTCTACTCCGCCGCGCTGCCCATCTTCTTCCCCCTGCTCCTCGTCGCGCTCGCGTCGGAATACGCGTGGCAGCACGCGGCGTCGCCGCAGCCGCCCGCGTGCAGCGCGGACGTGACGAGCGATTGCCTGCAGTGCGTGCCGGGGAAGGGCACGCAGCTGCAGACCTCGGCGGGGTGAGGAATGAGGCGAGGGGGGAAGAGGTAGGTGGGGGGGGGTTGAGGGTACTCGGGGGAGCAAGTGAACGCGCGCGAGTTGGTTCGCGCGCGACTCAGGAGGTTTGGCTGAGCGGACGTGACGAGAGAGTGCCTGCAGTGCGTGCCGGGGAAAGGCACGCTGTGGAAAGGACACTGGGATTGGCCTCTGGTCTGGCGCCGGAAGGGCTACAAGCTGAGTGCTTGGGAGGCGTGGGCGCGCTCACCCGCTATGCAAACATGCTCTTTTAGCCCAGTTGGTTAGCGAACTTGACACACGCAACTGCAGACGTCCGCGGGGGAAGGGGGAGGGGGAATTGGGGGAGGATGTACCTGGGAATTGCGCCCAGCAGCGGCGGCGCCCACCCCCACCCCGCAAGGACACGGAGGCGAAGAAAAATATAATTCCCACAATGCGGTGTCAGACTCTTTTCAGAACGGATCCTCTTTAACCCACCTCCCTCACTCCCCCCATCCCCCCCTCTGCCCCCCTTCCCCCCTTCTCCTTCCTGCCCCCCTCCCTTCCTGCTCCCCCAGGTACACTGCGGTCCCCATTCCCGGCATCCTGGTGGCGGGCAGCGGCAACGTGAACCCGGTCCCGTGAAAGAGTTTCCTGCCGGTGACTGCAAACTTTCAACACGAGTCATTTTGCACCTCGCCACCCCCCATCCAGGTACACGGAGGCCCCCATGCCGGGTATCCCAGTGGCAGGCGGGGGCAGCATCAACCCGGTGTCGTTCGCGACGGCCATGCTGGGCGTGTCCGTGCTCTTTGAGGTCGCTGCGTTTGTCACTGTTGGGCCCCTTGCTGACTTTGGCCGTGGGCGCAAGCAGGTACATAGATGCCTCCGTGATGGGGGAGAGAGCGAATCGCAACGGCCATGCTGGGCGTGTCCTTTGTCACTGTCAGCCCGCTTGCTGACTTTGGCCGTGGGGGGAAAATGGGTAGGGGGGGCGAAGGGGGGGAGGAGTGCGGGGGGAGAGGGAATGGGGAAAAGGGGGAAACAGGTGGGGGGTGGGGTGGGAGGAGTGAGCGGAGAGAGGGATTGGGAGCGGGAAGGGGTACATGGGAAGGTGGAAGAAGGAAGAAGGGGTTAGGAGGGAAGTGGAAGAAGGGGTTAGGAGGGAAGTGGAAGAAGGGGTTAGGAGGGAAGTGGAAGAAGGGGTTAGGAGGGAAGTGGAAGAAGGGGTTAGGAGGGAAGTGGAAGAAGGGGTTAGGAGGGAAGTGGAAGAAGGGGTTAGGAGGGAAGTGGAAGAAGGGGTTAGGAGGGAAGTGGAAGAAGGGGTTAGGAGGGAAGTGGAAGAAGGGGTTAGGAGGGAAGTGGAAGAAGGGGTTAGGAGGGAAGTGGAAGAAGGGTTTAGGAGGGAAGTGGAAGAAGGGTTTAGGAGGGAAGTGGAAGAAGGGGTTAGGAGGGAAGTGGAAGAAGGGGTTAGGAGGGAAGTGGAAGAAGGGGTTAGGAGGGAAGTGGAAGAAGGGATGGCCATGCCATGCCATGCCATGCCATGCCATGCCATGCCATGTGTATTGTCTCAAAGTGTAACAATCACTGGACTGTCAACCCGGCAGCACATGTGCTCCTGCACGTGTCGCTGCTGCAGCCTCTCACCTCCTCTCTTGCGCCTCTCACGTCCTCTCTTGCGCCTCTCATTCCTTTTCAACGCCTTCCCCCATCACTCGCCTGCCCCTCCCTCCCCCCTCCCCCATACAGCTACTGCAGGTACGCACGTACATGGGAGCAGCGGCGTGTTTGCTCTTAAGTGGCTTCCAAGCTTATACATTTAAAACTCATCTCCTCTCTCCCCCTCCCCCTCCTACTCCCCGTAACAGCTACTGCAAGTGGGCACGTACATGGGAGCAGTGGCGTGTGTGCTCTGCCTCGTCCTCGCCTCGCCGGCCCTGTGGTGGCTCGCCGCCGTGCTGCTTGTCATCGCCAACATTGGCTACGGCATCGCCACCGTTGCTTACTACAGGTGACCACAGCCCCGCCACTGCTACAGGTGACCACAGCCCCGCCACTGCTACCTATGTGGTTGTGCCAACAGATTGTGCCAGAGTTACACTCTCGCACCTCCTACCTTCAGCTCTTCAGCCCTGGCCCCACTCCAGCTCAGCCACCTGGCAGTGCTGGTAAACACGTTTTCCAGCGTGGCAGAGCAACTGCCAGACACGCATCACAATCACTCACCCAGAGAACCCCGTACTCCCACTTCAATTCCCCCCCATTTCCCCCCCCCCCTCCTCCCCCACCCCCAGTCTACTTGGCAAAGCTGGCGAACGCATCCCCCGAGGTGCAGCTAGCAGAAAATGCACCGCCTGAGGCACCCCGTACACTCCCCTCCCTCTCCCCCCTCCCTCCCCAATCTACCTGGCAGTGCTGGTGACCGCTCCCCTGAGGTGCAGTGCAGGTGTAGCAGGCAGAGACGCATGGCCTGAGGCACCCAATACCCTCCTACCCTCCCCCTCTCCGCCCCATGTACACGTAGACAGCTACAGACTGAGGCCGCGTTGCGTGCAGACTGAGGCACCCATACCTCCCCCACGCTCCCCCTCTTGTCCTCCCCACCCACCTCCCTCCCCCCAGCTACCTGGCAGTGCTGGTGGACGCGTCCCCCGAGGTGCAGCAGGCAGAGGCGGCGGGACTGCCGGTGCAGGCGGTGGTGGAGATGCGCGAGCAGGTGGGGCGGGGTACAGAGGGATTCTTAGGATTAATCCAAGGTGCCCAAGGAGCATGTGGGATGAGATGAGGGCGCAGGTGCGGGTGGGTGGGATGAGACAGGTTGTCTTCAAATAGAGTCACACTTCTCATTTTTATCAAACGAGAGGGAACAGGCAACAGGCACCCGAAGTGCAGCAGGCAAAGGAGGCGGGGCTGCCAGTGCAGGCCGTGGTGGTGGAGATGCAAATGGGACACGGTGCAAATGGGTTCTTAGAATTCCGTTGAGCAGGTGGGTAGAAGGAGCATGTAGTTAGGGTGAGGGAGCAAGCATTTTGAAGCATCTCTGATTTCATATCCTCCCCCACCCCCTCTCCTCCCCATCACCATTCACCTTCCATTCGATCACCACCCGTGCCTTGCCCAACCATTCCCGCCATGCCCAACTGTCCCCTCAATGCCCACCAACCCCCCATGCCCAATTCGCACATGCCCCCAGCAGGTGGAGATGTGTGCCACAGCGGTTGCCTGTGCCAGTGCAGTGTCCATCGCCGTCACCCTCCTTGCAACTAACAGAGCATTTCGTGCCCCTGGCCCGTGCCCCACCATTCCCACCCTCACCAGGTAGAGAATCGCCTCTCCCTCACGGCAGTCGCCTGTGCCAGTGCCGCCTCCATCATCGTAACCCTCCTCGCCCTCGCCGCCACGCTCCCCACCTCCTCGCCTGCCCTCAAGCTGCGCCTCGCAGTGGCCCTCTGCGGCGCCTGGTGGATCCTCCTCGCGCTGCCCACCTTCGCCTTCCTCAAAGCCCGCCCCGGCCCCGCCCTCCCCCCGGGCTCGCCCCTGCGAGTCTTCTCCGGGTGGCGCCATCTCGGCGCCATTCTGGCCGAGGCGCGGCGGTACCGCAACGCGTTTGCGTTCCTGGTGTGCTACTTTGTGTACGCGGATGGCTACACCACCATCATGCAGGTGACTTTTGTGTCATGCAAATGCATTTTGTGTCAGTTCCTGTAGTCGACTCAAAACTCACCTTGTTTGCGTTCCTGGTGTGCTACTGTGTGTATGCGGACGGCTACACCATCATGCAGATGACTTTTGTGTCATGCAGATGACTTTTGTGTCATGCAGATGACTTTTGTGTCATGCAGATGGCTTTTGTGTTGGTTCCTGTAGTCGACTCAAAACTCACCTTGTTTGCGTTCCTGGTGTGCTACTGTGTGTATGCGGGCGGCTACACCACCATCATGCAGATCGGCGTGCTGTTTGGCCAGAGGGAGCTCTGCCTCTCCACGGGAGCTACTGTTCTGCTCGCCTGCTGCGTCTTCCTCTTCGCGCTCCTCGGCACGCCACTCGCCTTCTGGCTGCAGCGCGTGTCCGGGCTGCACAATAAAGCCATGGTCTGCGTGCTTATAGCGGGGATGATTCCCCTCCCGCTCTGGGGCCTGCTCGGGTACCTGACACCGGACGGCGGTGTGGGGTTGAAGTCAGCGTGGGAGCTGTATGTGTTTGCGGGGTGGTTCGGGGTGCTGCTGGGGCCATTGTCGTCGTACTCGCGCACACTGTTCATTGATATGATCCCCGTGGGGAGAGAGGGCGCCTTCTTCTCACTCTACTCCGTCAGCGACAAGGGCTCCTCCTGGCTCGGGCCCTTCATTGTCGCTGTCATTGTACAGGTGGGATGCGGTGGAGTGCGGTGGGGGGGAATGGGAAGGGTTGTTTTGATGAGAGGGTTATGGGAGGAGGAAGGGAGAGGGTGCCTTCTTCTCGCTCCACTCTGTCAGAAACAAGGGCTCTCCCTGGCTCGGCCTGTTAATTGTTGCTATCATTGTGCAGCAACATACCATTCACGTCACATACCATGCCTCCCTCACATGCCACCCTGCCCTTACAATCCCTTTCCTCCTTCCCTTTCTCCACTATCGTTCCAGGCCACGGGGGAGCTACGGGCGTCCTTCTTCTACATCCTGGCGGTAATGCTGCTGCCACTGATCGCGCTAGTACTGGCGGTGGACCATGCACGCGGCATCACGGATGCAGGGCGCAGCAGCCGCAGCCGGGCGGGCGACACGGGCATCGCTCAGGACGACCAGCCCAATGTGGTGGGCGGCGTCGTGCCGTATACTGCCATGCGCGCTCACTGACTGGCTGTGGCTCTGGTTGTGCCGCACTGACTGCCTGTGCCGCACTGACTAGATGGTGCTGCAATGCTTCTTGACCCTAAACCCCATACGCCTCATACACGGACCAGCTGTTCCCCACACCACTATGAGCATGTACTGGGTGGGTGGCTGGCTGTACGGCACTGCAGTCACTCTGTTACTATGTGCGCACACAATTGTTGGAAACAACTAACTTAAGCGCCTCTGTCGTGTCGAAACACCAAGACACAAGCGAAGCGAAACATATCGAAGCACCAGCGAGTCAACCCTCGGAGGTTGAAGTAACTGCTGGAGCCTGGAGGTTACGCGAAAGTCAAAGGTCAGCGACCTTTGACCTGACAAATACAGCGCGACAGCAAGGACACACAACTGACTCGTTACGGAGCAGTTGCCCGAGTCGTCATTGTATCAAACCGCAACAGCAATGGTAAAGTAGTTATAACTGCATCTCTTCATATTCCTTGTACTCTTATATAATCTTGTATCTCCTTGTCTTAATCAATCTACTTTGCCCTCACATACTAGCGCAAGGTGGTTCACAACTCTTTATTAAACGCTTTTGCTATTACATCAGTCCTACCAGGAGTTTATTCCTGTAAAAGATCCTAGGGGCTTTTCTCAGTCCAACATGGTATGAGAGCAGTCAGGACAAACTCCACTATCAAGCAGGCCCTCAGAAGTCAGCGAAAAAAGGCTGATTAGGGGTAAAAAGGCTGTGATTTCAGTGGTGGGGGAATATTGAGGCTGCTGTGTCAGTTTTTTTTTTTTAAGTGTTTGCTGAAAGTTCAGTTTTTTTTAATCGGTTTTTGCTGAAATATCAGTTTTTTTCCAGTAGGCTACGCTGTATCGTCAGAGTTGTAAGAAAGGGTTGGGCTGAAATCCTTGTAGTGGAGATTCGCGTAAGAGCCCTGAATTCCTGACGTCTAGGTACACTGCTTCGACCCCGCCTCCGTCAATCACGCCGAAATGGCAAGATTCCTTGCCAACGCATTCGGGAATGGCATTATTCCCGAATGTTCACTTCACTGCTGTCTTATCGCGAAGGTATCTTCGCTCCTGATTGGTTGTTTGGGCAACCACATCACTCTCTGGCGAATGGAAAGTCAACAGCGCTGCACAACGCACGCACGTTTCCTAATCTTTGGCGGAGGCTTCAGTCGCTGGCTGTCGCCCTTCATCGAGCGTTACGGCCCCGGAAAGGACCGTGAGGTGACAGTGGAGGGGCCCGACTTTGATGGGCGACCAGCAACATTCAAGTTCACGCTCCACGAGGACAAGGTCAAAGGCTACGAAGGCCCGTGTGATCACGACGCCTATGTGGAGGCCTGCACCGACTTTGCCGAGCGCATCGTGGCGAACCTGGAGAGTCGGTTGAGTGACTTGGACTCATTGTCGGGAGTCCGACTGTTCCTGCCGGATGAGTGGCCGAAGAGCAAGTTGGAGCGTCACGCACGATGCGTTGACTGGCTGCAGTCGCTGGTGACGCTATTCAAGGCAGAGCAGGCAGAAGACATATTGCCAGGTGGAGTTGTGTTTTCTGTTTGTTTCAATGCCATCGTATTGTTTCTCTTTAGAGCCAATACACCTCCTTCTTGTTTGCTTAATTCATCACTAAGCCCTGTCTTGCATTGTTTCCTCCCCCTCCACTTGTTGCCATGCCAGGTATCAAGAAGCGGCAGGCCCACAAAGAGCTGCGACTGTTCTGCTCCGTCCGTGCCTCTGCACCGAACGGGGAGAGGTCTTTCCACGATGGCCTCACGGCGATTTTGAAGACTCCTGACTGGCGGAGGAGTTACCCCAACCTGGTGCTGTTGTGGGTAGCAGTGGCGGTGATTCCCCTTAGCACTGTGGAGTGCGAAAGGGGCTTCTCTCGCCAGAACGTGATCAAGTCCTGGCAGCGGAGCAGCCTCAAAGATGCACGGCTGGGAGACCTAATGTGCATGTCTCTGATGCCGTACGAGCCACAGTTCGACAAGGTGGTCGACATTTGGAGAAGCTACAAGAAGAGAAAGCCGTTCTCTAATGCCCCTAATTCCACCCAAGGGGAAACGAGCAAGAAGGGTAGAGCGACAGCTATGGAAGTAGATGAACCCCATGCTGTAGAAGATGTAGGCTCTAGTGGTAGTGAGGATGAAGAAGATGACGAGGTTGATGATGATCTTGATAGTTAATTGTAATTCTTACAAGATATGAGTGGATCAGACTTCACCGCAAAACGACGCTGATCGTTCAGCTTTTTTTCTCCTAGACACCCTGGAAAATCAGTTTTTTTTTTACCAACTCCACTGACCACTCAGCCATGAATCCATTCCTAAGGATGACTAGTCAGCTTACGCCAAAACGAATCTGAGGGCCTGCTATCAAGATACCTACAACATCAAAAATCATGGCTACTCAGAAGGAAAGGAGTTCCTCTAATGGTTCTCCCGGCACTACCCCTAATCCACCTCCTGCCTCTGGCCTACAGACAGAGCAGGGCACGGCGACAAGACCAGCAGCAGGGTCCACTGAAACTCCTGCGAATAAGCCTGCGGGCTTCAACCAAGACATGATGGAGAAGTTCTTCTCCTTCATGTCCTTCTACGAGCAACACCAGCAGTCGGCACCTGCGCAGTCAAACAACAGCAATAACAACAACGACGTGATGCCCATGAGCCCCGACGGCTCATCCTACGCACGTGGAAATCAACAGCAGCAACCTACCTTTGCTCCGTACGGGCCTTAGAACGGCTCCGTCAGCTTTATGCCACACTCGCAGCCTGCACCTGGACAAGAGAAGACACTAGACGCACTTCAAGTTCAGTCGCAGTTCGCGCACGTCTTAAAACTGCAAACGACAAGGCCTTTCGACGGAAATGACTTCTTCACCTGGTCATTCGAGTTCGAGCTAATGATGGAAGGCGCGCAGATCCTTGGCTTCTTCGACGGGTCTCTGCCATACCCAACACATGGCACACAGTACGACAAGCAGCAGTACACGTATCAGTCAATGATGGCGTACACAATACTACTGAGAAACATCACTCCGAATCAGCAGCAGAATATACCGTCTTACCGGGGATACGGCAACTCTGCAGAGCTCGCATACAACCACATGAAAAACCTGTGTCAAGCAACAGACAGCGTCAATCAAAGTCGGTTAATGGCGCAACTGACAACAGTCGAAATGAAACCGGGCGAAAAAGGGATGGCGTATATCAGTCGATGTCGCGAATTGCGCGACAAACTCCTTCGATGTGGAGGGTCAATATCTGAAGACGCCTTCGTGGCAGTTATCATCGGCGGCCTCGGTCCTCAATGGCGCGCCACAAAGGCCATTCTCCGAGCTCACGCAAGAATCTCCGAAACAGCGCTTTGCGCTGAAATTCATGCCGAACAACAAGACATGGACCTCCAAGAAGAAAGGCATAAGAGGAAGACGTCAGTACCAGAATTCGCCTTCCACACTCAGCGACGCTACAACAACAACAACAGCTGACAACAACCAAAGCCCGTACCTCCGTTCTGTCATCTCTGCAAGACGTCAGGACATCCGCACACACACTGCCCGAATCGACAACAGTCAACACCGCCACAGCGACAGCTTCGACCTTCAAGCAGCCAAGTCGCTTCAATACAAGCGAACTGTTATAGTCAAGAGTCCACTTAGAGGTCGCGGATGCCCATCAAACTGCCTAAGCAGAATCTGACGTCTTCAAACCGCCTCTGTTCAAAACGCCGTCACGATCAGCTCCAATAACACATGAGGCTGAAACTTGGGCAGCAGTTAGCCTTAGGTGTCTGCTTTCCAACGGTGTATTGCTTGCTTTTATTAGAGGTGTATGCGCTAGGCTGTGAACGAAAACGTAAGCTCGGCTGAAAAACGTGTATTCTCATTGATGCAAGGAAGAGGTGAGTACAACATTGCATAGGGGACTCATAAGGGGTTAGGTCGTCCTGGGAACTCAGAGAAGGTTGAGTCCTAGAGGAGAAAGGCTAGAGAAAGATGGGAAACGTCCTAGCTAGGTCAACAAAGCCAACCACACTTGGATGTTCAGAGCTGTACTCAAGGCTACCAATAGTGAGTCAAGCCAACATGAGTCAGCTTGTCTTCCCACTTGCACCCTCTTGCAAGCTGTTTCCAGGAAGACCACACTTCTCAAAAGGAGGGCTGTATATTCCCACTTGACCACCTGTACTTCTTGTCTCATTCTCTGTCCCTGCACCATTGGCATGACAACAATGAAAGGGTGGCAAGGGAAATGCTGCCAACAGTGCACCATGACTACGAAACAGTGAATTTCGGCAGCTGTCACGCAATGCTCACATGTTGGATCGTTTTGAAACTTTGTGACCACCTGCACAGCAGAGCAAAGGACTTCCAGACCAAATTTCAGACCAATCAAAGCTTGGTAGACGAGTCAACAGCCGAAATGGTGAACTCGGGTGTTACCAAAAAGGAGTAACACACACTTCCGGGATGCCATAAGTCTTGAAACATAAAATGTTGTCATGCCTTGGTAACGGCTTCAAAAACTCTGAAACTTTGAGGGTTTGAAGAAAACATGTTGAACATCTTCCCCACAAAATTCCAGAATCCGAGCAGGCTTGTAGGTCGAATGGGAGTGCGATGACTGTGCCACTGTAATGTGTTGGCACAACACGAACCCCATCGCTCAAGTTCAAACAACATCAACGGGACAACCTGCACAAGGAGCAAGAAACATCGTCAGTTGTATGGCAAGACTGACTGACTCCTGCATCACCGAGTCACCGCCACACTACTCACCGGAAGAACAGCTCGACAACAGTACGCCTCGCCTCAACCAAATCCGACGTACGCAGCAATCGCTCAAAGCGAGCCATCCGGGAAAGACACGTGGTTCTTGGACATTTGCTGCGGACAACACATGTGCTCCTCAAGACGCTTTGTTCAATGCGAACACCAACTTCAACGCGAGGTCGTCATCACCGTTGCCAACAATCAGAGTCTGCGCACACGA